TTTGGATTCCTTGCTTTTTACTGGTCGTTCTTTTCTACTGTAATTCCTGGCCAGTTTCTTTGTAATATTATACAATTGTTTCATGTTTCCTTCTCTTGCTGCTTTTTCCAACGTCATTGCTAGATATTTCACTTGTTGACGTTTGTCGGTTCTGATGCTTCTCTTCACTTTCTTGTTTACTTCTGTGTAATCGGCTTGTGCCCTAGCTTTTTATGCTCTTGTTTGGCTGATATTAATTGTTACCTTCTAGTTCCTCCTTTCTTCAACATTGTCCAGTGTATCAACAGTGATCATTTCCTTGTGCTGCTGCTTCTTGTGGCCCAGATCCTCACGACATTTTGAAGTGATTGCCAATTTAACCTCTTTCCAGTTGCTCTCCATAGTGGTCTTCTCTCCATTGAGTAGATCATGAAACGCCTGCAGCTTATTGTTGAGGGCTATGTTGAATTTGTTGAGTTTGTCAGTATCTTGACGAAAGGCAATATTAAGCATTTTTGATGCTGTCCGCCCCGTTGTCCAGCGCATCTTAAGTTTTAATTTGAATTTGGCGACCAGCAAGTGATGATCTGAGGCAATATTAGCTCCTCTACTGGTTCTCACATTCTCCATCGTCCTCTTGAACGTTTTGTTGATGCATATATGGTCCATTTGGTTCTGTATAGAGTGATCCAATGAAGTCGAGGTGGTTTTGTGAATGCGTTTGTGTAGGAATATGGTGCAACCTATGAACAATTAATTGAAGTCACAAAGGTTTGTAAATCTATCACCATTTTCGTTGCTTTCTCCCAGTCCATGTCGTTCAATGACGTCATCGTAGCCAGTGTTGTCCATTCCAAACTTGGCATTGAAATCTCTCATCAGAATGATCAGGTCGTTTGTTGGATACTTTTCGAAGATCGACTGCGGCCTATTGTATAATTGGTCTTTGGAGTCTTCTTCTCATTCGTTGGTCGGCGCATAACAATGGATAATGACCATTGCGATGACCTCTCTTTTTGATTCGAAGACGACTTTGATAATTCTCAGTCCATGAGATTCCCATCCTGTAGGTGCATTTTGTGCTTTTTTCGACAGCATCCATGCCAATTCTTGTGTATGTGGGGCATTTTCTTCTCCATGACCAGAGCATAACAGAAGTTCCCTTGAAGTTAGTCGTTGTTGTCCAACCTGTGTCCAATGTGTTTCACTGATTCCAAGAACCTCCAGCTTGTATTTCCTCATTTCTGCAGCAATTCGGAAGACTCTTCCGTCTCTCACATTGTCCGGACGTTCCATGTTTCTTTAAAAATTGTCGCTCTGATTGTTAGAAGGTGCATCGGCCTCATGACTTCCAAAGGAACCCGACATTCATCATGAGACGCTATAATTACTCCTTTTATTATCATGGCAGAGTTGAAAAGGTTTGAATAATTTTTCTGGTTGGAGTTTTTTCAGAGAGCTGGTTTTCTATGGGATGAAGTCGCTAACATCATGTCCAAGCCTTCTCCTTGAAACGGATCTGGGACCGGCAGTACCCCCTGGAGGAGCTACAGGCGGAGTGATGGTTTTGGAAGGGTCAGATAAAATCAAAACGCGGTTTTATCTTGATACATCTAGTTGATAGTGGCCATAATGTAGGTAAATCGAAATCATTTCTATTGATTTATCGTATACCACAATCATTTCCCAACGGAGTTCATTACAGTCTCCTCCATATAGCTGAAGCCATAGGAATTCGTACATTCCATCCCAATTTATATATACAGAGGTTTTTTGCAACCGTCCTTGTGAGTGTGAAAAAAGCTGAATTTCCTTGACGTTACATTAAGCAGGAGAAGTGATGGCTCAATAAATAGAAGTGTGCATATAGAAAAAATCCTTCTGCCTGCCAATATACTCAATTATATAGCTTGACACCTATCCAGTATAAGAGAAATTTGGTTAGATGCCTCACTAGTAGAGCAAACAGAACTGTTTAGTAGATACTGTAAGCCAGGAGCTGAATAATATCAATAACTAACTGACAGAGAGCAGCTACCCTACAAAATACATGCATTATACAAAGGAAGAATTCAGAGATTTCAAATGTTCGAAAGAAACTTTTATACATGAAATTACAATGCAACGGGGATGTGGCTGGTGACACTCGGAAAGATGGGATAACGAAAAGATGTTCTACGCAGCCAATCTTGCATTGACTTTTCGAGTCAACCATTGATGTCTACTCAAGCGAAACTTGTACTTTTATCTATTATGCTCGGTGATGTATTTTATTTCATTGTGATTGTTATTGACTCAAAAAGCCTTAATTAGTCTAAACTTTTCGTATAAATATTCATGTATATTAGAGTAAAGCCTGATGACGATCTACGTGAAAACAATATTGTTCGATTACCCGTGTTGTTCTAATTATTGAAGTGACGTAGTGACAATGAGACTGTTTGATTTCATGTCAGTTGGATGTACGTGATTATTGGTAGTTTGTTTTTTCAATGGACTTACTCAGTTTTGAATGAGAATCAATATGAAGAGAACAATGGTTTCAGTTAAACGCCGTTAATTGTCTGTGTATAAAGTGGAAAGGAGCATTCGACGTGGTTACAATATTCAGGATTAAATAAGAATGGATGCAGAATACATCAATGTGATCCTTCTCTGTCAACAATTGTCAATCATGTATCGATATCAACAAACAGATACCATGGTGTTTGAAATTGCTGATATTTCAACAGAGAGATGAAAAACGAGATCAGAATGTTATTCCTACTTCGATATTCAAGTCAGTCAACAATGGAACAATATATGGGAATGCTCTGTATTTGATGACCGAATAGAATAGTCGGAATCGATGACGATTTGTACAATGAGATTGTAAATGAAAGACACCTAAAATAATTATTCAGATAAACAGTGACAGCAGAATACCTAACTACAACTATTCCAACAAATCCAGCTTCTGTAAATCAAACTGTTTGAATCTACATGTAGGGCGATGCACGCACATAATTTCCTTTTACACGTCATGTTGCTGTTTATGATAATAACGTGAAATTCACATTGAACCATAGAAAACAGACAACTCTATATTACCAATGTCACCCTTTAGCCGTGCATATCCTCTTTGACAATTACCATGAATTATCTGCCACATTAATGCCAAGCATCATGCCAAACAAAATAAATGTTCCGTCATATTAACTCAACTACTGAGTATTGATAAGTAACATAACGCCTTCGATAATATGTAAAACGAGACAAGATGAAGTTAAATATTGTTTAGCAAATTCAACTTTTGATTGTCCATCAATTAATCAACTGATGATGTGTAATTATACAACTGTAGTTTTTGACCTTATTCACCTACCACTGGCTGCTACCCCTTGTCGAGGAGCATAGGCCGCAAATCAATATTCTCCATCCAACCTTGCCCTGGGAAATAATTTCCAGTTCTTTCCAGTTAACATTCGTCCTTTTCATATCTGCTTCTATTTATCGGCGTAATGTGTTCTTTGAGCTTTCTCTTCCGAATTCCAAGTTAGGGATTGCCTGGTGATACAGTTTCGTGATCCACTTCCAACGCCTTTCCTAATTTCCTCTCCAGATGGAAGCTGGTTTGTCCTCCCCACAGAAGGCTGTTACTGATTTTAGCTTACCAGCGAACGTTGAGAATCTTGCGTAAACAACTTTTCATAAATACTTGTACCTCCTTGACGATGGATGTAGTAAATGTTCACGTCTCTGCTCCAAACAGTGGAAATGACTGTCTTTACGATCGTATTGAAAATTCACAATTTATAGTTAGTTGACAGCTGTTTTCAGTTCCATCTGTTCTTCAAGTGTAGAAATGCTGCCCTTGCTTTTCCAATCGTCACCTTTACATCTGCATCTGACCCCTCTTTTTTTCATTGATGCTTCCCAGGTACGTGAGTGTTTCCACCTCTTCCAGAGTTTCTTCATCAAGTGTGATTGAGTTCGTGTTCTCCGTGTTGCATTTGAGAATCTTGCTTTTTCCTTTGTGTATGTTGAGTAATGTTGTCGTTATATCGTAGTGAAGAGGAAAGTACCGATAACTTTCACGACCTATTCGGTGAATAGCTTTCTTATATCTGTTTGCCTCATCATTGTAAGTTTCATTTTTACCCATAGATTATTATTATACGATTTATTGTTTCTTCAATTATGTTCAGTTTATTGATTACCGTCTCCCACGGTCACAGCCACATTTGGCTTCGTCTTGTAGAAATATTATTTTCTACTTTATTGTGTGATGTGGTCTGTATGTTTGTAAGGTATAAAAAACAAAGTATACCTGGAATAAAGGATTAGTATATCTGAAGCTGTAATTCGTGTTCTGGAATCAAGTGGATAAGCTAGGCGCGTTGATGACCGATAAAGACTCTAGGTTTTTTATACTGGTCCAGTCTCATCGATTCGGCACTGTGCTGAAATAAAATAAGTCGTATTTCGATTAACGGATAACTCACGTGATTGAGAGCTGTGCATTAAATCTCAACAAATTGATGACGGCCTTTTAATTCAGAAGAGGAGTGTTACTATATCGCTCACGTCGAGAGTTGAATGGTTAGATGAAATCCTTAATACAACAAATGGAATTGTCTGTAGTTTTCGACACAATTTTATATTTTATTCGAACCCCATATTATTATGAACTGATTATGTCAACGGATGAGTAAGTATTTTCATTTTCTGGACTAATTTACAAACAATACTATTTGACTTATGCGGATATTCAACAATATCAGAACGAACTACTGAAATTACTACAATCTTCACAAATACGCATTCTAATAACAATCGTCATGTGATCATTAGTGACCACCTTCAACACTCCCTGTTCTCGTTTAATTGTAATGAATATTTCAGATGAAATGATTGTTATTCATACTAGTTGTTTCCTACTGCAAATTAGTCGATCTGTGTATCGATTCTAATCGAACGTGCCTAGTAAGCTATACATTATGAACTCATTCATAACAACGACGAAGAGAGAGAGAAAACGTTTCAAATTTTGTGACAGATATATTTATTACCATGTTATTTTTAAAAAATTGTGAATAAAATAAAAAAGTGAAATCTCCTTCAGATCACCATCTACTGAGATATTGATGTGCTGAAAATTAAAATTCATAAGCTAACATTCTCATGACAAGTTGTTTTCAGGATTCGGATGGTCACCGTCAATTTCGGGAGGTGGTGGAATTGAACGAGGATCATATTGATTGGGGCGATGATCGTCAACTTCGACACCAATTGGAATTTGGTTCCAATCTGGTTCATCACCCAATTTGACATCGGTGACAGTAGGGTTGTTTGATTCTATAGGCGAAATGAGAGAGAAATCAACAGTTAGTTATGGGTTAGCAGTTACTAGCTTATTATTATAGCAACCAGATATGAAGACTTTTACTTACTTCCCGTATCACAACCTGAATCAACGAACTGAATCATTGTAAGGTACACTACAAACAGCATGATGAGCATTTTGATAAATCTCATTTTCAGACAGATTGTTTTCACGTAATATGAAGCAATCGGTAACACTCTTCTCCAACTCTTTTTAAATATCAAGCCATCATATTGCTGTTTATATATTCATACTGACCAGATGACACTGGTCAACACAGACAATAACACGTTGACACACACGTTTGTGGTTGGTCACAATTTATGCATTTATTGGACTCAGTATGTACACACGGTCACAATTCTTTAGAGGATTGGTAGTTTGTATGTTACACACACTTAGATGACGACGAATGTCACAATTTCAATAGAGTGAATGCATGATTGGGGTAAATCCATCTTATGTTGATCGATCACTCCAGCCTAATTGATTTGTGTTATCAGGTGATGTTGATCAGGAAGACGGAACATTGGTGATGGGAATAGGCAACGAATGAGAAACGTTGGATTCTTATTTTACTAAAATTGGAGATGTATGTGAAGAGCATGTCATGGTTGAATGAATGTGCCTTCAAACACAACTGATGTTAATATGTATAGTTATATTCTTCACTGTCCTCCATTATTCTTTGCAGGGCTATTGAGAAAACACTTTGCTGCATTGTCGTGAGTGCTAATGCTAGTTTCTAAGCTGTTGAGAAAACGTCTAATGCCGTTATTAATAGGGTTGTGGATAAACATGTTAAGCCTTGCAAATTCCTGATAGATGTTATCTAATCAGATACTAACCATCACCTTCATTCATATATTTCTCTTTGTACATCTTCTGGTAGAGCGAGGCATCAATACACTCAAATACATGCACAGAAGCAAGGGCATCAAAGATCTTTAATACCTTATCTAGCAAATATACTCCGTGACGAAAGGCTTGTTAGAGCTAATCTAGTAAAACACATGTATTCTCAAACATTCTTCAATTTGGAAAGTTGTACATATTTATATATTCTTTTACTGTTACTACTTCAAATACTACTAATGATTGTGATAAATGCCTTAAATGATGATTATCGCTAAACAAAGCAAACGACCTAGAACACTATCTTGTATTACAACAATTTTAACAGGAACAGCGCTCGTCAATGGAGAGTTAATTTGAACTAATATATATATATACCTCTACGATTAGTGGAGGTATAGCACGTTGTCGTGAATCATACTTTTGTTTGATAGAGTGATCGTACTTTGGTCTAAGGTTCGGAATCAGACGATTTCCGTTCTCTTGCTTCTTACATGATACACACCTATTATTGTAAAACATTTTTTCAAACGTTTTCAAATTGGATCTATGTATTTGATTATGGGTTTTTAATGTTACACTGGAAAATATGGGATTATTGTCTCTATTAGATGAACATCGATTACCTGCGGAAATTGCAGGTATAAGAGGCACGTTTGAGAGTTAATGAACTTGGAGTAAACAATGAGTGTAAAAACTATTTCTGATGAACTGAAAGTGATTCATAATCTCTCGAGTGGAATTTTGAATTAACATAAAATCATTCTAATTGGGTTAAATTTCAATTTTTAATTTACATAGAAATTCACCTTACATTCTAGAAATCTTCCCGATTTTCGAAACTCTACCAGAACAACTACCACAGAAACAAGATCATCTAACACGACGAAAGAAATTGATTTTAAAGTGTATTGCAATGATTATTATTACGATCAAGAAACTTATACCACAAACGACGACTGACTGTATCCAAAACACAACAAACAATCTACATAGTTTCTCAACAGTCTTCACTTATCCAATTTAGTTGAATTCAAATAATTAGTATGTTTCTTCCACAGTACAACACATTTTGAAAGCAACTGACATTGCCATCTCCTTGTACATCTTCTGGTAGAACGAGGCATCAATACACTCAAATACATGCACAGAAGCAAGGGCATCAAAGATCTATATTACCTTATGTAGCAAATATACTCCGTGACGAAAGGGTTATTAGAGTTGATCTAGTAAAACACATGTATTCTCAAACATTCTTCAATTTAAAAAGTTGTACAGATTTAGATATTCTTCCACTGTTACTACTTCAAATACTACTAATGATTGTGATAAATGCCTTAAATGGTGAGTATGTTTCTTCCACTGAACAACACATTCTGAAAACAACTGACTTTGTCATTTTTAAAATGATACTCATTTGGATGAACCTGTTTCATTGGTGGATCCACCTGAATCTACGATGATCTTGTATATGTCGTCTGACATACAGCTCAGATTATTGCATAAGAACACTAGATTTTGGACGGCATTATTCGAAACATCATCCATCTGATTGTCACTGTCAACATACTTGCAGATTTTGGAAGACAACGAAATGTGAAACAATGGATTGTCTAGAAATCTGATGTATCGGTGATATGCACAACTAGTCACCGTTTCATTGTTTGTCTTCCATCTCCAAACACTTGAGAGCAATACTAACATTGTGAACCTTGATTGATTGACGTTAACACAGTAATCACTACAATCTATGATACATCACCGTGATCGATAAATTTCCACACATTTCATAAATGTCTAACACAGTCTACTCATTGTCATCACATGCTGATTGTAAAATTTGGCTCAACAGCACAGTGTCAAACACAGTTACTTGTGGTGGATTAATAATGGAAGGAGTGGAAAACATTCCCACGTGTTAGATTGTACGAGAAGTGAGCTTAAATAGAAATCATCTTAACAACGTTCAAACTGGATATCTGCAAACCACAATGAAGTATTCTCTTCTAAGTGTAACATGAAAGAAAATGCATAGTGCAACTTATTCTGCTACCTAATTGACAACTGTACTAAGAAATGTGTAATTTAAATGTTTTGCTTACGAGAAATGCCTGAACGTCAGTTAAACTGGTCGATATTCTGAGAGAAGAGAAAGAGCTACCTTGCTCATCATCGTCAGACTAACAGACTACAACGCAAAATGAACTGATAGTTGTAAATATCTCGAGAATACTATCAGTATTGACATCTATGTTCGATTTGATGCTATGGTGTTTATTGCTTACTTTCATTGTCAACATGACCTATTTCAACATTCCTTATACCTGTATATTAGTCTCTCTCCATTGTTCATTATATGTCATTATGAATAATGGTATACAGGTATCGATTTGTGAATAGCATTTGTGTATTGACCATGTTTGAAGTACCAGTGAATTTCCGTCCAGTGATGTGATGAATTCCGCTCACTAATGGATCACATTCTCACTATTCATCGGAATGGAATGTCTTATATGGTAGAGATCGATTGCATTCTCATGTGAACTGAGAAGTTCATCATTCTATGTATGTAAAGCGATATCGATAAGCGAATACACCAAAGATGAGTGAAACGCGCACCACCACACTAACTTCTTTGACCTTGTATTACTACGTCTTTGTTTTATCCACCAATCACAATTTATGTTCATTCTAAAACAATATTCGTTTTGTTGACTCATTTTTCCTATTCTCCAGTTACTGTTCGGTATGTCATTTATGTCTCTCCTTTTCCATATGTAATAGACTGTATTTTTATTTGCGTACTAACGTTGTTAATTTACGTTTTAGAAACAGATAAAGTTAATTAAGCCAAATAGCTTACTTGTTTTGACTTTGGCGAAACCAAGACTCTGTATTCGACAGTTTAGAGAATAGCTTAAAGTTACCCCTGTAGGAAATTGCTTCCTACAAAGTTTCGAACAGTAAACCTCGATATACTTACAAAAATGACTTCTAATAAATACTACGATTCCGATGAGATTCCAGATTTATCACCACATCATATGGGAGTTTATGATGAGGACCAACTTGAAAAGGACAAACTCAAAATAAATAGCAAGATGGAATTAGAGTTAGCTAGATTACGTATAACTCAGTTAGAGAAGGAAATTGAGCTAGAAAAGTTACGCCGCCAGAAGAGTGAGGGTTTCGGTCGATCAATAAACAACAGCGAGGATGTAGTATTAAAAAATCTGTATTAACCAAAAAGGGAAATCTTAAGATTCGACGGTACACCGACAAATTACTGGAATTTTATTAGAAATTTCGAGGAATGTATCGGAAGTGAGAATATTGGATTTAAAGCTAAACTAAATTACTTGATTCAATATTGTGACGGCGAAGCGAAAGCCGCCATTCTTCATTGTGCTATACTAGAACCAGAGATAGGCTACCATCAAGCTCTAAAGCTTTTAGAAGAAACCTTTGGTCAAAAGCACGTAATAGCACGCACGTTCATCGACAACTTGTTAGATTTTCCCAATATAAGAAGGAACCAAACAGATGGTTTAAGAAAATTATTTCGGGAAATGCAAGCATGCTTTTTGACTCTCGAACAAATGAATTACGTTTCTGACCTGAACTCTACCAGAACTATTGAAACTATGGTTTTGAAATTGCCGACGCATGTTCAACAAAAGTGGCTTAAGACGGCTTCTAAGATTATCAGAGGAGGTCGCGAGCCTCTGTTCGCCGACCTTACCGCCTTTGTAAAGGAACAAGCCGATATGGCTAATACTCGATATGGGTTACTCGTCAACCGCGGTAGTAATAATGACAATAGGGATATCGGGGTTTTAAAGGGGAGAATTAAGGCAGATTACAATGCAGCAAGGATATCTTATACGAGTAGTAGTGATGACAATGTCCACTTACGTAGTTCATCCTGTTTAGAGTGCTCAGGTGATCATTTCTTAGATCAATGTCAGAAGTTTAAAGACAAAAGTGTTACGGAAAGGAAAGAATTCGTTTTTAGACACAAGTTATGTAATGTTTGTCTGAAGGCTAACCATATAGCGAAAAACTGTCGATCACCGAGGTCATGCGATGTTAAAGGATGCGGTTGGAGACACCATACCCTGTTACACAGGAAGCAGGAAGAACAGAGAGATGGAAGTATTGATGCTCACATTAATACCCAGTTCTGTCCGGAAGGATACGTTAAGCATACACAGAGTCCAGTAGCATTTGCAGTGGTGCCTGTATGGATAAAGAACGGTGAGAAAATCATCCAGACTTGTGCCTTTCTAGATAGCGGATCCGATACCTCCCTCATTGTTGATGATCTGGCTGACGAATTAGGCCTCAAGGGAAAACCAAAATTGGTGT